AGCTTCACCTAAATGTTCGACGACTCTTGGATCCTAACTAAACTTAAACTACAGTTAAAATATATAATAAAATAATAAAGTGTTGTTTTACAGTGTAGAAGAGTAAAGAGCTGTGGTGGGAGGAGGAAGAGGAGGAGGATGAAGAGAAAGAGGAGGAGGAGGAGTATTAGAGTGAAGAGAAAGAGGAGGAGGTGTAGGAGGAGTAAGAGGAGGGTCCTGCTGTCAGACATAAACTCAGCAGCCGCTCGTCACCAGTTCTTCATGTTTGATGCTCGGTGGCTTCACGGTGGACATGAGGAGCAGAGACGCTCCGAGAGACAGCAGCTTCATCACAGGAGCATGAGGAGGAGGAACCGAGAGAAGAGGAGGAGAACACGGTGAGGAATAAATACTATCTATATATTATACTACATATACACTCAGTATACTTCAGCTGTTTCAAGTAGAACTTTAGCTTTTTTAATTTCATGAGCAAAATACACAGAACAGACTGAGAACCAATAATAATAATAATAATAGTGTTAATGTTAATAATAAGGATAATAATATCATCCGTTGTTAGAGTTGTTTCTGTCCAGTTGTGTTGGTCCAGTTGTGTTGGTCCAGTTTGTTGCTGCTGGGTCCCAGATGTTCAATCGTCGTTCACACTGAAGAAACATTTTGAGGTCAAACATCATGTGAGAGTCGACAGTCACATGAAGCAGGCGTGAAGTGGAGAGAGAGGTGTCAGGTCTGAAAGTGTCAGGATGTTTTCTTTGTTCAGGAACACGACAGCAGGAAGCTTCACAAAGTCAAGTACAGGAGTGAATCTGATCTGGTGTCAGCTCATGAGAGGATCTGATGAGGGATCATTTAAAAATACACGTCCCTGCTGTCGAGGCCTAAAACCTTTTCCCCACAGATTCATTTATAAAGAGAGATCCGTTAAACGAGAAGAATCGGACTCTTTGAGTCGTGGATTTCATAAAAGCTTAACATTTAATTGAACAAATGTAGTATCAGATTTTTAAAGGGCAAGAATTCAGAAAACGTACCATCCTTGTTAAGACTGCCACCTGGGGGCGCTAGAGTCAGAGTGAGTTAAAGGTTTGGATGAAATCCTTGTCAATGAGGAAACGAGTTTAACAGGAAACTGGTCAGAACTGATGGAGGCTCGGAGCGTTCAGGATTAAATAAATAAAATCAGGTGTCTACGAGAACTGAGCCTTGTGGAACTCCACACGAAACGTTTGAGACCAACTGAGAGAATTTGTTTATATAAGTTTCTGAGGACTTATTTGTATCTTTGCACCACAGTTGATCGGCCTCTCTGAAGCTCCTCCCTAAAAACCTCCTCTCTGCTCGACGCGCAAACATTTTTCCACCTGGTCACACGTCCTGCAACCAGCATGCCAATCATCAGCAACGCCAACCACGACTTCAGCACCTACTCCATCAGCAGCGACGACAGCAGCCTCGACCGCTTCTTCACTGAGATCCCGGAGACCGAGACCATCAAGGGCGTCTACTTTCAGCGAGCGCAGCTGCTTCGTGACCCCAAGGCCTCGTATGTGGTCGACCACACTCTGCAGGTCCTCATCAATGTCGGGGGCAACCGCTACACCTTCCCCTGGAGCACCTTGGAGCAGTTTCCCCAGAGTCGCCTGGGACGCCTTCGCTTCTGCACCACCCCTGAGGAGATCGCACGACTCTGCGACGACTACGACGAGACGTGCCGGGAGTATTTCTTTGACCGGAACCCGACAGCCTTCAGGGTCATCCTCAACTTCCTGGCGGCAGGCAAACTGCGCTTGCTTCGGGAACTGTGCGCCGTGTCCCTGCACGACGAGCTCGCCTACTGGGGCGTGGACCCGGGTCATATGGAGCGATGCTGCCGTCGCCGCATGATCACCCGGGTAGAAGACGTGGTGGAGAGAGAACGTAAGGAGGAGGAGTGGAGGCAGAAGAGGATGATGCTGAAGAAAAGCACCACAGAGGCTGAGAAGGGCCATGGCAGACTGATCGGGATCCTGAGGGAGGTGGTGGAGAACCCTCACTCAGGACTGGCTGGGAAGATGTTCGCCTGCCTCTCCGTCATCATGGTGCTGGTCACCGTCATCAGCCTCTGCATCAGCACCATGCCGGACCTCAGAGACGAAGAGACCAGGGTGAGTATGGAACTGTTTACGTCCTTGTCAAGTCATCAGCTCATGTTTCACATCAGAGCATCGAACCCGAAAGAAGCTTCTAGTGAAACCATCGACTGTAAATAAAGATGGCCGACACGTCTCCGTGGTTGTGACATCATTTGAAGTCTGTGCAGGAGAAATCGTGGAACCGAGATTCGGACGTTATTAAAACGGTTGTAATGAAAAAACTGCAGCACAAAGCTCCTTCAGTCGTCTGATGACGAGAACACGTGACATGACCTTCCCCTTTGCATGACATACATGTGACCTCAGCATGTGAACACGGGGCTGATGGGAAATGGTGTTTGGTCGAGGTCAAGGCTGTGAATGATTCTGATCCTTCTTAGGAATGGATCCATATTCAAGTGAAATATGAACACGTTGTTCTGTAGGTCGCCCTCTGCTGGTTTCTCTTCAGCTCACAGACATTTGAGAAGCTTGAACAGTAAAAACACTAAGTTGTTGAAATCTTTAAGAAGAAAGTTTAAAGTCGAACTTTATTGATATGGAACTTTAAACACAACATCGATCCAAAGTGTTTTACAAGCTCACGTCATCACTTTCTTCACCAGGAATTCACTCGTGTCCAGGAGTCGTGTTTCCTTCAGATTAAAAATATTGATTTGAACGTGTAATGAAAAGCTGCTCCATCGTCTCGTCAGGGAACAAGAGGTCGTTACGTTCGTCAGCTCCGTCATCACTTCTCTCCTTCTTCTGCTCACTCTCTTCTTTTCTTTCTCTCCGTCATCAGTCAGCTCTCAGACGCTCGGAGATGGAAATTGATTTTTTTCCACTTTAATGACGGATTCTGATTCTCTGCAGAGCAACAGACACTTTTTAACATTCACCCCCGAACAAATACTGACGAGGAGAAATCTACTGAGACTCAGATTCTAAGTCTTTATTTAAAGTTGTTTGCAGATGTGCGCACACACACATGCAAACACACACACACACACACACACACACACACACA